AAAATTGCTTATCTTGGTCAATTTTGCCAATTTTCTCGTAGAGAGAACGCACTGTATAGTCTTCGAAATTGGATATATGCAGTAGTGTTGTTGAAGGCCACATATGTCGCTATATCAATATTGGATCCAACACGGACAGACAGTGATGGGTTCAAGCTTGGTGGTCTCCAATTCCCTACACCTACCCTACATATGTCAAGAAAAAAATGGCTATGAAAGAATTTATTTTTCAACAAATCGGTAAGAAGTGGTTTTACGGCACACATTATTATTCAATTAATAGGCTTTATTTAGACCAGCATTGCTCCAACGTCAGTGAATGTGGATAAAGCAGTTGACATCTATACTACACAGATGCATGATTTTCAAAAGAAATTACCTTGTGGATTCTATGTCACAATTTCCAAGAATGTTCAAATTACTGTGGCAGCCATGAAGAAGTCAATGTTGGGGTACGAAAGTCTATGAAAAGTTGATCTACTCCAGAGTAATAGGACTGCAGACAAGTTCAAGAGAGGTCAATGTCAAGGACATTTTGTCATAAGAGCTTTCACCAGTCCCAACAGCACTTTTTGATGATTCTGGAAACGAGCACTCCCATGTCAAAGACGGACTTATAGAATTTGACAAAAGTTGAGATGTCAGCCAGGCATGAGACACTGGAACAACCTTGTACAGTCATTGATGGTTGTGCTCTGCTGTGAATGAAAATCTGATGATGTTTGCTTGGTGTTTGACAGATCCGAGAGTATTTAGAGGTCATAACGGGTCGAGAGTCTTCCAACTGAGTCCCGCGTCACTGCTGCCCTCCAAGAAACTATCTCTTACTGTTCGTCGTCGTCGTCGTTGTCATATAGATCATGGCTCACCCTTGTGACCCGTTTGATGAGACCTTTTGATCGGCATCTGTCTCCTGCAATCCGGTAGAGTGTCTTTAGTATTTAGAGGGTGGCTAGTGATTTCCCTAAGGTCGTCAGTCCATCTGAGCTTGAGTCTTCCTTTGTTACGTGTTTCTTCAAAGGTACCTTGAATGATAATTTGTCAAGGTTGTCTCCTGATCTTCTGCTAACGTGACCAAACTATTGTAGCTTGTACTTGTCAATCCTGGTAGCAAGTGGCGGTTGATCTTCGATGATGGACATTGTGTACATTGGTGTTGTAATCTCTTCATGATATCCCAAGTAGCTTCCTCCAACACCACATTTCAAAGGCAGATTGCCGAGCTTCCACCCTCCTTGACAATCATTGACCCAAGAACATTATATAAACTTGTCCACTTGATCAACTTCTTCTCCATCAACCACCATGCTCTGTTGCATGTAGTTAATTTCCACCAATCATGATCTTGGTCTTTTTCACATTGAGGTAGGGTCCAAATTATTCACTTGCATCCTTCACTCTTTTTTAAGGAGTTCTAGTAGTTCTTCTGATGTTCTTGTTATAAGTGTTGTCAGTGGCATACTGAGCAAAAACACTTGGAGGGGCAGAAAAACAATCTGCATCACCACCACTCATACATGTTACATGCAGGCCCCGCGGAACTTTTTTTTACAGCGGGGTGGGGGGGGGGGGCTGAAGTATTTACGATCAGGAAGAGAGGAGCGCAAATTGGCGTGGTGTTCAAGGGGCACAGCCCCCGGAAGCTCAAGGGTTTCAGGCATTTATTAACTGTAAGATGAACATATTTTGATACCTCATTTCACCTCGGGTCACTTTCTTTCTTTCTTTCTAGTTCTCTTTAACATACTTTATACAAAAAGTGAGGGGGCTCGAGTCCCCTGAGCCCCGCTGTTCTGCGGACCCTGACATGTAGGCTTTTGAATAAGCATATTTTTTGCTTGACTGTGGATTTAGGATTTGTCATTTTCCAACATACGCTTAACAAATAATAATTTACTAAAAAGTGAGAAAAAACCCAGGAAAATCATGTCATTTCAGCAACATTTGTAAATCACTGGTATCGAATATATAAAAAAAAAACAGTTTGAATTTTGTTTGGGGGTTCAACTGTCCCCAACCCCCCCCCCCCATACCCTTCCCCATTAATACGCCAGAGAGTGTTGTATTGTCGGCGTATCTTAGGTTGGTGATCGTTCGTCCACCAACAGAAACTTGAACATAAAATGCCTTTCTCATGATGAATTCAGCATAGATGTTGAAAATTTATGGTGATAGGTTGCAGCCTTGACGGACAACTTGATCAATAGTGAACCTTTCGGTGTCGCCATTCTCTGCTCTTACTGTCGTTCTTGGTATTGGTAGAGCGACTGGATGAGTTGAATTATATGTGCTGGAAAGCCCATCCAGCTCATGATCTTCCATAGGCGTTTATGTTGTACGCAGTCAAAAGCTTTGGAAAGATCAATAAAGCTAGGGAGAGAAGTTGTTAAAACGTGTCTCTAGTGTTGCTAACTTCACTATCTTTTCATGACAACAAACTACAGTTGATCGACATCATAATTATATGCGCGAGTCTGCAGGATGATTGGGTGCTCAGAAATAGGCAAAAGCACAAGCAGGTCTTTACCGTCAAGATGAGGTTCTTGTTGAAGTGATTCCAGGCAGTGATGTCATGCCAAGGAAAGGTCTGTCCACAACATAGTTATGGTGAAGCAGGCAACATCAAAGAACAGCAAGCGATTGGAACTGATGCTAATGAGAAGAAGTATGTTAGGGTCCTAGTGGATGACACAGACGTCTACGTACTACTTTTGCATCATTATCTACATGACGGACTTATAAAACGCCAATGACCATGGAGACGCCCCTTCACAAATCGAAATGTTATTGATGTTCCTGGTAATGTAGACAAATTAGGAGATATCATTCCATCGATGTTGGCAGGACATGCGTTGACGGGATGCGACACTCTTGGGGCATACTTTGGCATTGGATAGGGTACAATACTGAAAGTGATGAAGCAGAAGATTCGACTCCCTTAGGACTGAGTTGGCAATGTTGATGCAGCATGGTCATATGTCATCACTCAACCTACTCAATGCTTTGCTTCATGTTATGGACAGTCAACAACCAACTGAATGTCAGTGGCTCGTATCAACGTGTGGCTATCAATGGTCCGAAGACTAGGAGCTCCAAATACCCCCAAACCTTGCCTCACTACCTCAAACTACTAAAGCGTTTGTAGAAAATGTTAAGAGAACTCATTTCCAAACATGCGTGTGGAAGCACGCATTACAGTCACGACCTTACTTTGCAGAATTAAGTGTTAAATGACACCCTCTTCCGCATGGAATATTTTAGGGTTCCCAACACTTTAGAGGGCTTTTAAACAAATTTCAAGATTTCGAAGCAAACTTATAAACGGATATAGTCCTGTATCGTAGTGGTAGTTCGTAATTTTTAGGTTAATTTAAAAGAATCTAGTACCTTAGAATACAAATCTAGTTTCTTAACGCTGTCACTGAAAATGGGCATTTATCACCATATGCCACCTCATATCTATGGGACAGAGAGCATAAAATTCAACCGTGTTTTGTTCGAGTATCAAATTACAAAATAAAAATAAATGTGCAGCACAATCTTTACTCACTGTATTCAGTGCATCTGACTCATGACATAATGATAATCTCATGTTAGAAATTGGTATTTGGCCATCATTTTGACCTATGCAAGTTAATGTGTCTATAGAGGGCGCCATTCCGAATTATGCAAATTTGCATATCATTTGTGATCATACAGCATTGCAATTTTTATTTAGTGATGATTCTAGAAAAAAATTAAGATATTTGACTGCCATTTAATGTAGTAAAATGCTGTTAAAACTTTTTATATCATTAATTTTGGTTAAAAAGGGGATTTTGGCGGCCATTTTGTATGACGTCACATATCTCAAATTGCTCAATGCTGACAGAGTGTCAGCAATCGAATTCTTCAAATTGATGGTCTAAGGAACTATAATCCGAAGAAAAAAAAACTATAGACCCTAAAACAAGGTATATCGAGATGGCTGCCGGACTAATAGCTTTAGAAAGTAATAATAGAAAATACACTTGTAATATGTGTGTACATGAAACTAAAACAGTGTATGTATCTATGCAGGATTTCATATTGGTGGGTTTTAGCAGATGCAGGATTATTCCCCTGAATTTTTTATTTTGAGTTGGGGGGGGGGGGGGGGGACACAATTTGTAGTGAAATATAAAAATACCACCTTTGTAGAAAAAAGTTTATAAGATTATACAAAGCAGGAATATACATGTGTCAGCAAAGACTTAAGGAGGGAGAGTAGTAGGGACGATTATAAGATCATAGTTGGAGTTTATTCAGATTAAACTCTCAACACTCAAGATTCAGTTCAGTCATTTGCCACCGTTTTCCCCATTTTGCAATGTGAGTATGAATGAGGGGGGCAGTATATGGAGGAATAGTTAACAAATGCTGGATACATTAAAGTGTGACGTCAAATGCAGATTATGGCACAGCTGTTAGATAGCTTTAAAATGAATCTTTTATTCACAAATGAACATCTCTATTGTGTGATTGCATGCTTAAGCAATAGCCCACCCTCTGATTTCAACACAGGTGTGAAAAAAGCAGTATTTGTTCTTGTAATTCGTGATCAAGCTTTGAGAGCTTGAGTATTGAAAGAATCACCAAATGTCGCAAGTTGTTCTGCTTGCCATTCAACAGCTGCGTGACAAGAAACCAAAGCCAGCCCTCTGATTCCTTCCTCTATGCAAATATGTATCATCCCAAGATAATAAGCTATTATAATATCATTATTCCTCCTGCCATCATCCCTCTATCTAATGACCCTGCGTAGCACATCTCTGCTCAGCTCATAAGATTGCTGTGCGGATGTACCCAGCATCCGCTACTAAGTCGACATCTACATAAGACAGCGCATCCCTACACAGTCGTATCACTTGAAAAATTGCCGTTTGGTATTCCTCCCCCAAAACTTGACACTCGCCCGCTCTGGTTTCATATTGCATCCCATCTCTACTTGTGGTCGCTCTCCGCATCTTCACGCCTGACAGGGCAGGGCTGGCTGGCTGGAGCAGCCGAGTTTTGCATTTTAAGTGGCCTCCTCAGGCCGCCGATGATTGGGTCGTAATTCTTTCAGTCCACGGCCATCCTCTTCCAAAGCTCTTCCCCTCTGCGGTCATTTGTCCACCTCCAAATTGACTTATCAGGATTAGCTCGGACAACGGGAAGAAGATTTGTAAAGACTGTACTGGATTTGTGGACTATGTTTACACAGCAGGTGGAAACACACCTGATGTTTCTCGAGCCCTGTTTATCTAGGATAGGGTACTTCTTTAAGCGTCAAGTTGAGTTTGTGCATTCATGATACGATTTCCCAGTGGTTCCTTGCAACGTACATCATGGATGAATACCAATTAATGTGATTTTGATCTTCGCCTCGTGAGAGTAGAAACGGTTCATGTTATCATGCAACGTTTTGGGGATGTATATCTCACATGATATCAGTCATGATGTTGCTGATCAGTGCTAGTGTCTGAACCAACAGTTATTTGTTCCTACTCTAAGCTAGCTACTTCTTATACTGTGCATCTTTGTTTTGTGCAATAAAAAAATATTAACGTCATTATTCTTCAAATGTTGAGAATACCATCATTGGACTACCATATCAAAATGTATTCGATCGGGCATAACTCTGACATTGTACGTGTTACACTGCACTGCTCCATATTTTAACATTATCAAAAGTTTTTCTAACAATATCGAGAGACTTTTACTTCCATCTTTAATTCTCATGTAGAGGCTGTTTCAGAACCACTGATATATATTTTTTCTTGCATCGTCAGTTTATATAGCTAAACAATTGAACATGACATCTGCAAATGGAATGATTCACAAACAAAATATGGATTGGGAGAGCTGACCTGAGCAAGTTGATTGGAACAACACATTGAAGTAACTTATGCTGCTCAAGGCTTGAAGTGTTTCTTCATAACTTTTACATTTTAATATCATTAAACCACGTCTTTTGTCACTGCTCAAGAAACAATAATTCACCAAAGGACATCTTTGTACCTCTCTCCCTTCTCTCTTTGCCGATCCTTATTCTGTAAACTGGACATTTGATCACTGGACATTGATGACACGCTTGACCATCATGCCCGCCCACAATTCCTTCGCCATGCACGACACCCGGACACGGCTCCTGGACGCCACATCCAACCACATTGACCACATTGATGAAACACTCGTGCAGAAGTGGAAGCCACTCTTTGATAAGGTGAGATTAAGCTTAATGTGAACAGGGGGGTGTTTCACAAAGATCCTAAGTCGAACTTATCTCTAAGTTGGACTTCAAATTTTTGAATCTTTGAAAATATTTTGTAAAAGTTATCTTAAAAGGCATAAAATGTTGATTTAAATCTTCATATTATCTATTATCACGGGAGATTTCATGTTCATGATGTGGAATTTATGAAAAGTCCCGTAACTTCAATTTTTGCTTTTGAATATATTTTATTTTAAGGCTACAAATTGCTCTCCATAATGTTCAAGTCGAACTTAGAGTTAGGTTTGACTTAGGATCTTTGTGAAACACCCCCCCCCAGAGCTCATATATTGTCAGATGAGAGCTAGAAGGATATTAATTAAGTTAATTATGAGTTAATACCCTTCTGGCTTTAAAAAAATGATGTATTTTAAATCATGAATATTTTTTCAGGAGTGCCTGTTGCAGAGCTTCCCACCTGTTTCAAGTTATTGTACCGGTATTTCATTAAAAAAATATTGATTGCATGACTTATTGTGGTTAAATGTGGCAAGCGTTATGAATCTGCAGAAGAAAGATTGTATAAATGTTTGCACAGGTCTTTTGGATGACTCTCCCTGAGAAAATCGTAGTCTCTGGTCATTCCTTAAATTTTAAGTAATGTATTCTAATGTTAACACTCAACAGCTATCAAATATTCAATGACACTTTTATTTGAAAATAATTATCTATCTGTCTATCTATATCTTTCATCTACTAACTATATATCGATCTATCTATATGTTTATATATCTTTCCATCTAAATATCTATCTGTCTATCTGTCTATCTTTCTATATCTCTCCATCATGTTATTTCAGTTTGTATAATGCAGTTACATTGCAGTTTACAATTCCCCCATGATTGTCAAACTATTTGAGAAGGTGGGGCTGGTCACCACTTGATTCACAAATAATTAAAAAGAGGAAAAAAAATTAATGAAGGAGAGAGAAAAGCTCAGTAGGAGAAAAGTATTATGAAGAAAAGATATCACAATCCCTTCCCAAACCCTTTCCCCATACAATAGTCTTGCTCATACACATTTTCTCTACCAAGGAACATTACAGTGATAGAACTACAAACATACAGAGCAAAATTCTTTTTGCTAATTGGCCCTGTTTAAGCCCTGAAAAAAGAAATACACAATCATCGACTGGCCGCAAGAAGTATGTATTGTCAGTGGTAGTAACAGTCTTCTTGTACATGTCAAGAGTGTTGTAGATTCTCTGCGGGGTGTTGATTCCCTCCAGATGTGTGTATGGTAAAACATTGCAAGTTCACCGGCAGAATATTGGAGCTCTTCCACGAAATGGGTCTGCTCGGATCCAAGCATCATGCTGGGGGAATCTGGAACATGCAGTGATTACAAATTTCCAATTTACCATCAAGTCTAATCAGTTATTTCCCCCTTCCTATTAAGCCATCTTGAGGTAAATGATTCAACAATATTAAAGTAGTTTGACTTCATTTTTTGACAGTTTGCTATACAGCCACAGCTTCAGCAAAAGGATCAAATTTTAGCACTCAAATGAGAAAGAGCAACGTGTCACTAGAACATTTTATGACCTTGGGGGGGGGGTGGGGGTGGGGACCATTTGTACTGCCAAGGTACTGGTAGGCAAATTTTCCTACAAGCCTCTCCTAAAGGTCCTGGTTTTCAAATTTATCACTAACAATAATGAAAAAGATAGTAACATTGGAAGATTTCTATAGTGGATTCTCACAGACTATGTGGATGTCATGAATGACGTGTGACTCACAATGACATTTGCATCCTTTTGGGTACTCCTTGGGTGGAGAGAGGCAATGTAGATAAAATGCCTTGATTACGCAAACTACACAATTGATCATCCAAAGCATAATGACATCCAACCTGATTTGCACTTTTGGTAACATGCAGGGCTCAAATTATTTTTTTGTCCACAGGGGCTCTTCCCCCCCTTAAAAAAGAGCCCCCGTGAGCCTTCTAATGGGGGCTCTTTTAGTACTGACTGGGGCTAGTTTTTTAATACAAATTTTCATTGAATTGGTTTAAGGTTTGAAACTTGAAACTCATTATTGTGTGAAAGTTACCGGTATAACAGAAAAGATAATCTTTATTTTATAATTCCACGGGGCAATTTTTAATTTTGCAATCGCCCCTGTGGGCAATCTGACGGAGGCGATTATGTAGCAAACGGGGGCGAATCGCCCCTCGCCCCGTGTATTTTGAGCCTTGGTAACATGTCAAATGAGCAAAAGGGAAGAGTAGATCGAACTCGAAGAGCCGCACAGAGAAGAGCCGCACAGAGGGTTATAGGATCAGATCTGCTCCCTGTTCCAGCACTTCATGAAAATCGCCTACTTGCCAAAGTTCAGGATATAATGACAGACAATCCTCATCTTCTCAATGGGGCGTTATGGGGGGGGGGGGGGGCAAGCTGATGGGAAATATTTTGAGGCATGATAATTGTAGACAGCAATATGAAATTGAGGGGCACATGCACATTATAAATAATTATCCTCATCAATGTACATCGTTTTCTATTGTTAAGAATTGTATTTTCCATCATTTGTATTTTCACTGTCAAAAAGGCCATTGGAAGCAAAATTTCTATGTAATGTTTGCATGCATGGACCAATAAAATAATCTTGAAACTATACAATCACTGGATTTTTGAAGATTTTCTATGGCCCGTTTTCACCATATGTGAGCGGAGTTCTTGTCTGTGTGGGTGTCATCACTGTGAAGCGTGACCGGCATAACTCTTCTTCTCGCACCTCCTCAGAGCTACCCTAGCTATCATATGAACTCCAGCCCAAATAAATGTAAGCTGAGTGATGGGTAAATACATGGTAATCCTAGAGCTAGAGTCATCTGTATAGGTTTTCCTCTCGTGGAAATGACATCTAAAGTTGACATGACATATATTGATTATTTAGATAATGTTTAGTATGGAAGTGAAGATAGCCTAAAATAAATAACAAAACATTTTCTTTTAAAGGGAAAGGCCAAAATTTCAGAATTATTTCATGAATAATCAGCCCCCAAAGGGCTTCCGGTAATATGTTTTATTTTTGCATGGGCCCCTCAAAATGAAATGATATGAAATTACATTTTAACACTGCATGCTGTTTGGATCCAGAAGGAAGTTCAATATTAATTCATACACTTTCACAAAGAGCTTTAATGCTATATAATGTCTTTCTGGCTCCAAAACGGACATTAATCAAAGATTTCATCATGACGTTGCAAGAAATCTTTTTGGATGGCATTCTATTCTCTTACATGTATAGCACACCAAGGTTTAAGCAAATGATTTTACTTATTTGACCGTATCAAACACTTTAGAATTCATCTACGATAAATACTTTAAACATTGACCCAATAATTATAACCTAGCCATTTGGGAGACCGAAGTGGGCAGAGAGAAGTGTACCGTCACCCCATTCTCCATGCCCCTTGAGAAATAGATAAAGCGCTACCTTTTTGGGGGAGACAATCCCAGCAGTGAACTTCTTGAAGCTTAGTAAGAATGAGTAATGAAGACTGTAATGTGACGCCCACTGTTTTATAGTCATCATTTCAGTTTCTTTTCTGTTGTAATAGTGCTCTGATTAGTTTTTCTGTAATAGCGCTCAATGAGAATGAATTATTATTATTATTAAAGGTACTATGTCCCTTTTGCAGCCAACCTCAAATGCTGTAGAACTTTGCAGGAATTATGAATATGTCATGTTTGTCCTATCTGTGAAATTTAAACGTTAGCAGTGTCCTCATATTCAAATTATGCAAGGAAACCCGTTTACTTGCTAGACTTCACTGTCAGACACTATTGAGTGACTGACTGGCTTTTTTTCTTCTTTGGTAATAACATACATGAAAAGAGTTGTAAAGGGTACATGAGTATTTGTCTACATCAATAACCCACTTCTTGTGATGGCCAAGATTAAACTGATTTAATCTTTGCGCAGCATAAAACGTACGACCATTCGGTACAATTGTCTGAAAATCAAGACTATTACTTTTGGGCTCTACAGCCCTAAAGTCGATTTGACAACTAATAGTCGTTATTTTCCCGCTTTCCAAGTCCCACCTTTTTTAGGGAAGTTCTAAATTAGTATTATCTTTCAAATGCAGTTGGAATTTAACTTTTTCATTTTTTTGGCCTGCAAATGGGACATAGTACCTTTAAAGCTTATCTGCCATAGTTTACAGGAGGGATTAGACCGCCCTGCCAGGTCACTGGACAGGTGGTTATCTCATCAACTCAGCTCTCAGTTAACAGAAGAAAAAGAGGATCATGGGGGACCGATGGTCACCGATTAGGCATTGTTTGTTATATAGAGGGCGCAAGTAGCTACAAGTAGTGCAGTGGGCCTTTAATGTCTGAAAAACAGATTTAGCAGGCAGAATTCTGTTTTCCTATTGGATAGATAAATAAGAATGAAACAAAGTTCAGTTTGGAAACTCAAATGATGGAGGCCATCAGCAGATGAAAACCTGAAACCAAGGGCACGTAACTCATTAAGCCTTTAAGGAGACAATGTTGTTATAGAAGTGCTAGACTAAGAAATTAGTCATGAAAGAATGAAGGGCTCTTTACGTGACTTACTCAGTACCATGTTTTTCATTCACAAGAAAAGCTGAGAAGATAGTGGAAGTCCCTACGTTGTTGGTAGATAAATGAGAGACAAATGTTCCATTTGGGAATTGAGAGATATCAATTATAGTACTGCATGTTGCCAACTAAGGAATAAGTCAATGGAGGCCCCCTAATGTGACTCTGTCAGACATGGGTTTTTCATTCTCAAGAAAAGCTGACAAGATAGCAGATGCCCATTGTTTAGCTCTTTTTTGGGAGGGGGGGGGGGGGGGGAGGGGAGGGGGTAGCTTTTAAATCAAAGTGAGAATTTCCCCTCTATGAAGAGAAATACAGCTGACATGTAGGCTTCTGTATGAACCCTCCCCCTTTCCCATTCCTGGGTATTTTC